GAACCACCTGACAAGAAGGTCGACGAATTAGGAAGAAGCACAATGAAAGGGAGATGGTACAAGAGGAAAACACAACACAGTACTTGGAAAAGTGGAAAGTGTTGGACAAGGATCTTCGATAACCTGCAATGGAAGAAACAGAAGATACCTTGTCGAACAGCCAGGTAAGAAAATACATAAGGAGAGGAACAGCGGGCTGAAAAGGGGGAACCCATGGCGGAAGACGTTTCACTGGCGTCGAGAAAACGCAAAGGAGGAAGGGTGAAGAGACTAGGCAAAAAAGGAAGTGACAATCTGGATATCTGCAAGGAACCAGATATATGCCAGGCATGAAGTCGAAAGATGTGAATTGCAGGATGAAGGACCAGTGACTGAGGTTGATGGAGAAGGGATGGAGTGAGAAGAAGAGGTAATGGGGGAGGGGAGTAGTTTGGAGCTGAAGGAGAAAAGGAAACCAAGATTGCACTGGCCAGTAAAGAGCAACCAGAAGGACCTGACATGGAGAGCAATGATGACCAAAATCATCCTGGGAAGAAGCCAGATAGGAGGGTAGGCATAAACGTACTAGTTGGTCTAGTCCTGACTGAGAGCATCCACTGCCAGGGCCTGCGGATAACTAGAGAAAAAAAAAAAAGAGGTAACGTGGTGTTGAGGGAAGTTGCAAAAGCATCCGGATGAGGAATTCCTCAGTGACTGCAAAGCCACTGGAAAACCTGAGGGTCAATGGATCAATCCATGGGGGAAATATGATCTGCCATAAGGTTGAAAGCACCCAGAACATGACACACTTTGAGACATATCTGTAGTGATTCCAATAAAGTAGTTCCAATATTCGATCACAGAGGGAACGAGAACAGGCGCCTCTTTGGAGATTTAAATAAGAGCCAACAGTGGAATTGTCTTCAGGGATCATAACGAGTCTGTTCCATACAATACGAAGAAAATGATCCAAACCATATCGTACTGCCAGAAGCAAAAAACAAAATAAAGGAAAGTTTTCTTTATGATAAACTACAGTGAAGAAATTGCAGAAAAAGTATTAAAAACGTGAAAGCACTACTTCGAAAAAAGCGATAAAAAAATTCGCGATAAATGAAACAAGAAGTGATAGTTAGGTAGAATCGAATAGATGGATTCCCGTGCGTCGGGAGGTTGTGTTGCACTCCTGGTGGGTGGAAGAGAGTTGTCGCATGATGATTTACATGGAAAGACGTTGTGAACCACGTCGATCGTGGCGTAGGTGAGAGTTTCAAGGCATGTGACATGAGAACAAATGTTGTACATAGTACTGAACAAGAATGGCTATTATGTAGTAGGATGTATGGTACTGTTTTGGAAGCAAAAAACATCACAGATAAAAAAACAGTTTGTTTGTTTTTGAGTGAAAAAGTTCCACAATGGCTATCTGCACTGTGCTCTCCACAGCTATTTAATCCTGATTTTTAGTGCCTTAATCCATCAAGCTTAATGCTGAGCCAATATTGGCCTTATCAACTGACAAAAATATTTTGAATACGTTTCAGACAGTGAGGTAATATCAAAATAACACTTTAAAATCAATTCTTACTGTCAAATTAAAAAGTAGAATCTTGTATATATTGTAAACCGTGATGTCTGTCCATGCTTTTATCGGTTTCCCGTTTGAAAAGCTGAGCATGCAGGCAAAGCTAACATTCACTTTTGAATTGATGGAAGAACAGGCATGGATAATGTTGATGTCAAATTTTATTTTGCAAGCAGGATATACTCTACGCTAAATTGTTAGGAATTAATCACACTATCATTCACATCTCAAAATATGACGTAACTTAAAGAATAAAAATGTAGATTTACCATGTTATTGTTGAGAGACTCTTAGCATGACTGAAATGTTCAACAATTACTTTTTGCAGTGGGCAGTATAAGTAGTTCAGAGCTTTGGCTCAGAGTGAAATACAATTAACGTTTTCAAAGTTCATAAAATAATTGAAATTGATAGAGTAACTTAAATTTTTCCGTCAATGGGGACGGGTACTTTTGCTATTTTATCTTAAACTTTTCTCTCAATGGGATGGGTACTTTTGCTTGTACTTAATAAGACATATATTTTTTAAGATAGCTTCTGCTTATTTGAAGTTTCATCACTTAGTACAATTACAAAACAACCAAATAAACAAAGAATTTTCAGCCTTATAAAAAAACCATCATGGGAAGAAGAGAAAGTTTTCAAAATATAGTTAAAACCATCAAGAACCAATTTCACTAAATGAGGTCTTACACCATACTTAATGATGTGTTGACTGAAAAGCTAAGAGCTACAGCTTTTCAATAATCATAGACTAACTACTAATAGGAGCTAACTGAACTGTTAGCAGTTTACCACAATGATGATCTTAAAGTTGGATGTTGTATATCTTATTAGTTGTCTAGATATCTATGTTTAATAAGAAAATTTTATTACTTGATAAACTGAACGTACCTCTGAGAACTGGGTTGGATTTTGTAGTGATGTAACAAATGCTATGATCAGAGTTAACCATTTAGTTTAATTTGTGATCAAAATATTTCCTTAGATTTTTGTTGTAAAATGTCGTTGGAATACCAAGCATCTATCTTTGGTTTCAGTGGAAGTTTGGGCAGAGTAGACATTATAGGTTTGAGAAATTTAATGTACTGCAGTTGCCTGTTGAAAGTAAAAGGAGATGGCAACTATACTGGAGCCTCAATATAAAAGCCAAAACATTGTCTCCTTTTCTTTCAAGAGGCAGTTGCAGTCCACTGAAGTTCTAAAACTTACTGTAACTAAAAATAGTTTTAAATAAATGCAAAAAGTTTCACAACTATCTTGAAGACCTTCTTAGAGGTGTATATAACCATTGTTTTCTAGTGTTAAATAGTAAAAGCTTTGAAAGTAATTTCAGTCATTTTCAGACTGTAAGATGCACAAGATTCTGGTGGCTGTTCAAACCAGATGGATGTTGGTGAAGCAATATATGGACAGACTACTTTAGTATTTGGTTGAATTGTAATTATGTTGCACATCATTTGTTTTTGAAGATCCTACTCACAAACAGATGGATTGTTCCTTCCTATTTAGAGTTTGCACATGAAAGTTTTGCTTGAATTTATAAATTATGCACTGGGTGTTTTCAATTCATTTAACATCGTCTTTCAAAGTGATGCTAGGCTTTTCCACAAGCTACATATAGAAATAGAGAGACTAATCGAAATATTTGCTACCAATTTCATGAAGGTGAGTATTTGCCCATGATCAAATTATATCACACTGAAATGCCTGAAAATAAATGATACAAATATGAACCATGACAAAATTTGCCAAAATCTATTTCTAAGCCAAATAATTCTACAAAAAAAATTATATATATGAGATAAAATCAGACATTTTTGTTTAATAGTACAATCTTTGAGCAAGCTCTGATTGTAGAACCTATGAATGTTCAAAAGTGAGAGCCAACAAGTTTAAGTCAACGTTTTGAAAGCTTGCATTTCCAGACTAATCAGTTGGTGACCAATGTTGTCAAGTCTCATGAAAAAATAAGCAGCACTGCTGTTCAAAACATGCCCAAAACATAAGGCACTGCCACAATAAAATGTTTGCAGAAGTAGTTATGGCAATTCACTGGGTTAATGAATAGCATACATATCATTACATTTTCAGAATCATCCTATCCCCTTACCCACTCATGTTCAATTAAAAAACACACCCACAGTCTTGAACTTTCTGGCCTAGCCACTTGACACATTCCAATTAAGCTGTTTAAATTGCCATTTTGAAGGTAATCTATAAAAGAGCAGTTTTGAAAGTAATTGCCACTTATTTTGGGTTTGTTTCAAACGGTAAGTCAGCTTTTATAAAAAAGCCCACATAAGCAACCTCAAAATAAAACAAGTCCAAAAAACCCATGAACTCTCAAAAGATCAAAACAACTTTTAAAAAAGCAAGTCCAATTTTTTTATTATACGTGGACTTGGCAAGACTGTTGATAAATCTGACGAAGAGAGAAGAACTCACTTAAGTTGAGCTTCTGAACAACAGGAATATTGATGTGGTTACTTCTATTGAATACTGCGATATATCCTCTCTTTATGATTTCCCACTGGTAATTTGCAATTTCTCAATTTACTAAGCTAATAAAAGTTATTTCTCTTCCATTCTCACCATGGCTGAATGCTTGTTCAGTGTTATAAAGATAGTAAAAACAGATAAAGGAAATAGTTTAGTGGCATCAACATTAAAGGAAATTATAGCTAATAAAAATTATTTCTCTTCCATTCTCACCATGGCTGAATGCTTGTTCAGTGTTATAAAGATAGTAAAAACAGATAAAGGAAATAGTTTAGTGGCATCAACATTAAAGGAAATTATAGCTAATAAAATTATTTCACTTCCATTCTCACCATGGCTGAATGCTTGTTCAGTGTTATAAAGATAGTAAAAACATAAAGGAAATAGTTTAGTGGCATCAACATTAAAGGAAATTATAGCTAATAAAGTTATTTCTCTTCCATTCTCACAATGGCTGAATGCTTGTTTAGTGTTATAAAGATGATAGTAAAAACATAAAGGAAATAGTTTAGTGGCATCAACATTAAAGGAAATTATTCTGTGACATCATTGATTAAATAGAAAAAATTACTAGCAAATGCTCTTAAGCTGGATGCTCATAATAATTGTTTTTTCAAACATGTAAAAATAAATACCAGTGCTCCTCACGGCACTGACATCAACTAGTTTTCAAAACCCAAACACAACAATTTTTTTTCCATTTCTAGATTTGTAATAAAATGGAAAATATGTTATTCTTCATTATGAAAAAACAAATATATTTTGACAAAACTTTCTTTTAATGCAAAGTAAAAATTGAGTTTTTTATAAAATAAAAGTTACAATTAGTACAAAAAAAGAATGACTGTACTATTCACAATTTAACTAGATTTTTTGTGTACACTTCTTTGTAAACCTATAGATATGTTGTCATTTTTATTTATGATTAAACATATTTTAATTGAAATTTTATTTTATTGCAAATTAAAACATACAACTGGAGCTAAAAACAGCTGATTGTAGTATTTATGATGTAACTGTCTGTTTTATGTATGCTACTTTGTAATTTTTATTAAATTCATCTGTTTTTTCATATTTGATATAAAAATTAACCAAATGGGTTCTGCTAATAGTAAAACAGAGAAAATGCTCAAAATTAAAAAACTAAGTGTCGTGAATAAACTACAGTAGCATCAGGACATATTTCAGAAATACTAGAGAAATTTTCAGGATTTTTATGTATTGAACTAGGATATCGGAACAATTTGATGGAAATGTACTCAAGTTGTTTCCTAAACTTTGAAGTTCAAGACATCAAGGCCACACTTGTGACAAATCACTTCACATTTAACTTCCTTTCCAATAAACTACAAAACCAATATCTAGCAAAACAATTCTTTATGAATGTACAGTAAATATCCTTGAATTATACATTCAACATAAAGCTCTTCTAAAGTATAGTAACTAATCTTTTACTGAACTGTCAAAATAAAATTAGGTAAAATGAAAGACATGGTATTGGTTTTACAGCATGAACATTAATTAGGTACAGATGAAAATACTCATCAGAACATTTAAATTGATTTCATACTTCATGACAGCTGAATCAACAGATGATTCTAGTAAATAATAATAAAAAAAAGATGCATATGTGTTCCATACAAAAGTTAAAAGTTTGTCTAATTTTTGCTAAGGATTCTTAAAAGGTTTTAATGCACTAATAATCAAGTTGTAAATGCAGATGACATTTGTCTATTATCGTATTGAGGTCTTTGTTTCCTCCTTTTTCTGGATGAGTGATAATAAAAGATGTTGATTCTTACATGTACATTTACAAAGTATTTTGATCCTCTAGTATGCTATACTAAGTTTGGTCAATATATAAATTATTTTTACTTGTTTTTATTTTCATTTATTGTAACAAGACATGAAGTAATTGGCATGACAGTAGAGACCAGAGTTTACTCCAAAATGATCCCTTGCACTGGCAGCCTGTTACATTTCCTGAAGGATAGGCATAATTACAAATTTGGTAGCAGCTAAAAACACACATTGAATTGAAGCATAATTATAAGTCTTTCTTTCTCTCTATCACTTTCAACAAGTGGTGTGCAATTTTCTTTTCCAGCCTCCATGATAAAAACAGAATGTTGTCCCCAAACAATGCAGGGTGCAAAGGAAGGTACCAGGTTGCTGTGATAGCAAAGAAAGATACCAAGTTGCTGTGATAAATGCAGAAAATCTGTGCAGTAAGTATTTTTAGTACTTTTCTTCAAGTGTATTGTGAATTTTAATATAACTATATAAACAAATCATGATTATGGTTTATAAAATATTATATATATATATATATATGATATAATTAATGACAGGAAGTACAAGATCAACCATCATGCATGCCAACAGAAATTAACATATTGCAACTGTGTGACTATTGAACAGCACTATGCATTACACTTAATTACTAAGAAAAAAAACATGTGGACAAACTAGTTAAGAAACTTTTTTCATACTGAAAGTTACCTGAAAATTTAATTATATACCAGCAGCCAAGCCCCACTCATGATGAGGTGAAAGAATTAGTTCCAAAAGTTACTGTACTTTTACAAGCTACCTCTTAGATAACATGAATTCATAGCCTTTATTCACATTTAATACCAGATATTTATTTCAAAATCAAAAGTAAACCACTGTAAAGTTTAATTTTAAAAAATCCATTTTTTTGTTCTGATGAATTTCATGTTATGAAGGTAAAATACTATTTTTCCACTCAGTTGGATGTTTCAATGACTACTTGGCACACTTACTTAGGAATGGAAATAATTTTATGTTATTTTTTATGTATGTATAAATATTCTCCAAACCTTGGGTCCATGAAACTAACAAAAATGGTATTTAACAGAACTCAATTACACCTTTGTTGAAGTGTTTTCCATGCATATTATTTTAATGACCAGTACACTTCTAGTGTATCTCAGTACTGAACACTTCTTTGATAATGACTAGGGTATTTCTATTCATTTCTAGTTTTTGATATATGTTTGATTACTTTGTCTGTTCCTTCTATTTCTAACTGCTCATAAATCCATTTTCGATTCTGGCGACATTCGTGGCCACATTTAGGGGATTTGCACTTTGGACATGGGTAGTGGCATCCAGGGCAAGTTTCTTCTAAACAATCACAAAGATTTTTTCCTAAACTCACATATGTTCCTCTTTCATCATGCACCTGTGGTCCTCGTGATCTGAAAATAAGGATAAACATCGGTTCACAACTCTATATCGATGTACTTCTTAATGAGCTACTATCAAGAAAAATAACAAAAACGTACTCTTGTATTCTATAACCTGGAAAAGATAAATATTAATACATGAAAATGTTAGCTACACAAATGCATAATTTGAAAAGAAAAAAACTACAAATGCATGCACGCACATATACACACACACATATATATATTTACATGTATATGCCTAATTATTCTATTGTATATATTTTTACAACCAATTGCTTGTAAAATATCAGTTTTTAAATATGAAATTCATCATCGATTAAGAGCATTACACAGGTAGCACATTCACATAGTAGCAAAATTCTTGTATAATTAAAGGTTTTTCCATTAGAATAACTTCCTAGGATTGAAGAAAGGCCATTTGAAAGTTCTGTTCTTACAAGACAAATCAAATTAAAATGCAATGTAACTTATTTACTTTTCAAATATTATGTTACTTACAAGCATTATTATTATTATTTTCATATCTTCTGCTGAGACATGTACGCCTTATCCTACCTCATGTACTTAACACGCTAATATAATTTTATTTTTAATGGCAATTTTTATAACAATTAGTATGTTAACATTCATGCCTCCAAAAAGCTGCGGTATCAGACTAAAGTCAGAATAAAAGAGAACAAATAAGAAAACACAATTTGGTTAGATGACAAAACAGGTCTCAACTATAAGCTTTTCTATTGAGAATCACTGGGTAATTGTAAATTAAAGCTTACTTTTTAAAAAAGAGGAATATTATAATATTCTTAATTTTTTGGTGAATGTTATTCTTTTTTAAACCTAATTACTAAAAGAAGTTTATTGGCACTTTAACTTTACAATTAATGAGGTTACCATAAATAATTTAAGTTGGTAAGTGTTAGTAATCTGTGTAAGAACAATGAAGAAACAATCATGTATTCACATATTTCCATATTAAAAACAAGTCATTTCATTTGATAAAAACATTTTAAAATCATCACATTTTTTCATCAATTCAAAAATATCAAACCATAAACACTCTAAAATGCCACAATAAGGCAAGGTAGTAGTAACATATCATCAGCTGTTTGATAAATGCATAATTTGAACACCAGAAATTCCCACTAACAAAGAATTAATTCAGGATATTGTGAAATGGTCCTGAGTACCTTTGGATAATCAAGTGCAGTATCCTTATAATCAGGAAAACTAAAAAGGTTATAATTTCATTGTATAGGTCACTGGTTAGGCCACATTTGAAGTATTGAGTTCAGTCCTGGGCTTCTTACCTTAGGTAAGACATTGAATTGTTGGATGAAGTTCAGAGTAGGGTTACTAGAATTGTACCTGAGATGGTGGGGTTGTCACATGAGGAGATATTAAGATCTCTGAAATTGTTTTATCTTGAAAAAAGAAGAGTTAGAGGGGATCTGATTGAGGTATTTAAGATTGTAAAGGGAATTAATAGTGTTGATACATCATCTTTTTTCATATTTAACAGTGAGAATAATAGGACTAGGGAACACAAATATAAATTCTGGCAGGGTAGGAGTCATCTTCTGCTAAAACATTTTCATTTTTCTAACAGGGTGGTTGGCCTCTGGAATGGTTTGGCTTTGGATGTTTTGGAGGCAGTAAAATGAGTTTAAGAGAAAGCTTAATAACTATATCAATGATAAGAGCTGGCTTTAAGATTTTTATTTATTTATTTAATAGTTTTAGGTTAGTTTAGAGGATAGGACAGCTGAGATGGACCAACACATCCCTTGTTGTCCCTAAACATTATGTTATAATTAATAAATAGTTATGTACTCACAATTTTCTCCACATAATATCAACAAATTCAAATATTACTTTCAAAGTGATATTATTTTTAAATTTTATTCCTTCTAAAATTGAGAAACTACAAATGAAATTGAGATATCTTATACTACTCAACTAATGAGGAATTTGTTCACACCTAATTTTTTAATACATATTAAAAAAAAACGAAAACAAAGAACGATTATTTATGACATTCCTAATGGTGACCTGACCTTATACGTAGGTACTTGCGAGAAAATGAGAACACTCAGTTGACAGATTATTATTTAAGTAACCTGTATTACAATTACATACAAACATCTCAAATATCTATTTTTCTTTCTGAAAAATCTGTCAATGTATTTAACTATGGCCACTAGTATTACAGTTCAATTTACATTTCATGTAATAGTAAATTGCACACTGGTACCTTATACTCAGATGCCTACAATGAAAAATAATTTCATTACAATAGACTACTACTGTAGTGTAAAACATCTCTTCCATTCCAACACATTCAAGAAAAAGAACTACACAAAGTGGTATATTTGTAAATGTAAGATAAAAGTTTGTTTTTATATCTTAGAAGTGTTTCATGACAGGTTCGGTACATTACAGTAGACTACAGTAGTTCAGTACATTACAGTAGACTACAATAGTTCAGTACATTACAGTAGACTACAATAGTTCAGTACATTACAGTAGACTACAGTACTTCAGTACATTACAGTTGACTACAGTACTTCAGTACATTACAGTTGACTACAATAGTTCAGTACATTACAGTAGACTACAGTAGTTCAGTACATTACAGTAGACTACAGTAGTTCGGTACATTACAGTAGACTACAGTAGTTCGGTACATTACAGTAGAGTACAGTAGTTCGGTACATTACAGTAGACTACAGTAGTTCGGTACATTACAGTAGACTACAGTAGTTCGGTACATTACAGTAGACTACAGTAGTTCAGTACATTACAGTAGACTACAATAGTTCAGTACATTACAGTAGACTACAGTAGTTCAGTACATTACAGTAGACTACAATAGTTCAGTACATTACAGTAGACTACAGTAGTTCAGTACATTACAGTAGACTACAGTAGTTCAGTACATTACAGTAGACTACAGTAGTTCAGTACATTACAGTACTATAAATGAAGTACTTTACAAAAATAGAACTCTACTTCATAATGACATGAATTTCACACACACACACACATATATATATATATATATATATATATACAGATAAACTTAACAAAAGATCTGTGTGAATGTACATTTAATGCAATAAGCTATTTCTAAATTCTAAAACTGACATATCATTTGACAGTTAAAAGCAACTGGAGTCTTAAAAAATTTACTTTTCATTATAAATCTTCCTAGTCATCTTCCGTGTCTCTCTGTTGCTAGTTTCTGGATTCCAGTTCTCTAGAAACTTAGATGCTTGTCCTTTAGTCTCCTTTCTCAGCTGACGTAGCCTTTTGTCTCTATATGCAGGCTTAAGAAAATAGAAGAACACAAATATAAATATTAAATAAAATACTTGTTGTAATAAGTTAACTGAAGATACTAAACATACAGTAGATAATTTACTATGTCAGATTCAACAAACAAGGCTAAAGCAGTCCACTGCATATTTCAGTTCTACAGTGTCTATGCTGCCTAAAATACCAATAAAACATCACAGTTTAATTGACAATGTTAAGACTTTTATGCAATTTTCAAAATTTTCTGTAATGATCCAAAACAGATTACTGTAATGAGATCCTCAGTGGGAAATAAAGTTAAAGTAAGTTTATTAAGATGTGGTTTTTGAGAATAGGGAATACTAATTAAAATTATTTTTAGCAGCACATAAAGCACAAAGTAAGAGATAGCAGGAAGCTAACAAGGCAGCAGTTTAAAATGCACTTTAGGTTTGCTTTTACCATTACCTGTGAATTATCTTATTATGAGCCTAAATTCTAATTAACATGCTAGATGAAGATTTTAGATTCAACATTTAGAAAAACATATCACTAATATAATTCAAAATGTTTATTACATTAATTTATCTGAATCTGTTAATCTACTATAGTGTTAGTTAAAATTAGAGGAAACATTTATTTTTAATATATGTTCATTCTGTCAGTGCTACCACAGGAAACTTCTTCTATTCAGTACGGGCTAAAAACAGGATGAGACCAGACCAGCCAGGATGAAGCACTTTAACCAGTCTCTAGCAAAAGTGTTGCACAATTAATTTATTTTTACAGAGTAATAAATGAATTAACTGTCACCTTTTATTATTATAAGAAATGTTCTTAGGTGCAAAACAATCACACAAACTTAAAAGTTCAAGAACTGGATAAATCTGACAATTATATTTTGTGTATTTAAAATAAAATATAGAAATGAGTATGCCATCACTACAAAAGGATGAGGTTAAAACAGTGATCATGTTTTGCCAAAGTACCACCATGAGTAAACAATATGAAAATGACAAAATGATTATGTTTAAATCTCAATTGGAACAGTTTTGATCTCCTTATCAAAGAAAGGATACTGATCCATTAGATATAGTTCATAGAAAGGTTACTAGGATGATTTTATTTTATAGGGGAGGTTAATATCACTTATTTTTCTTTTCTTTTCCTTTGAGAAGAGAAGGAAAAAATGATCTTATTGGAGTTTACATGATTATTCCGGGGACTGAGGGGAGAAAGTTCTCTAACTTACTTGTGCTGTATTTTCAAAACAATAGGAAAATATGAGAGAAGTTAAAAATTTGTAAAAGAAGGCTACATCCTAGTTAAAACAACTTCATTTTATTAACTGTGTGATTGAATTATGGAATAAGATGCTATTGGCTGTAGTGGAAGCTAGTACCCCAGAAGAGTTTAAGAGGAGGAATCAAATGTTTCCTGAAACATAAAGGGTGGGTTTATAATTTTACTTTTCTCTAAGATGGGTGTGCAAGATCATTGAAAGGATATATGGTCCCTTGTTGTGCTAAACTTTAAGTTTACTGGTACAACCTCTGAGTTAATATTATTAGACTTTAACTGAATAAGTTAACTTCTATATGCCAGTACTGTCAAGTTTAACATTTTAAACATTTGATTATACTTTAATACATGTATATTATACAAGTTGATGTGCCCACATAATGAATGAAGAAAACATAATGGTGACAATTAAACCTTAATGCATTCTGTGTGTATTTGTGAATTATACAAATAACTTCAGTGGAGCAAGGACAACACAGTCTTGAAAATAGTTTTTTACCTATGCTTTAAGAATTAATATAATTTTCATCAATATACTATCCTAAAACTGAAACATGTCCATTCCACATAATGAAAGCAATATTGAATAGCGGACGAAATGTTGGAACGTAGTGTTACCAAAATGCTCTGGTGTTTCAATATACTAGAAACTGTTAATCTATCTGATTTTTACCAATAATTATTCTAAGAATAAGCCACCTTTGTTACTGACGTTCCTCAAATAATATCATAGTATATCTGCAATTATTACTAATTTCACTGATAATTCATAAACAAATGCCTGTTTCCTTAGCTTTTGTATTACGATTATATCTTTGGATAACTAACATGACATGACATAGAACAGGTTGGGTTTACTACTCATACACATCTGTCAATCACAGTATTTCAAATTTTCAACCAGTTATTACAAAATCTTTCCTTTACTTTCATAAGCACATAGGTAAGCTCATACTTCATTTCTAACATTTGGTTGTGGAAAATGATAATTTTATTTATCCATATAATATGTATCCATATGTATGAGTTTGACATTGGTAGATTTTCTTGGGACTACATTTTACCTTGCCTTGACACAGTTGTTATGTAGTAGCAGGTTACCAGGTAAAGTGATAAATCACTCACATTTTGTTAACATTGTTCCAATGGGATGGCAGCATGGAACGAAAGGTCGATTTCCAGGTACAATTTTTATTTTATTTCATTAATTATGAACTAGTTCATTGAATCTGCAGTGTAAATCTACTAATTTATGTCTGTGGAATCCAATGGTGTATGAATTTTTTAATGATTATCATTAATTAAAAAATCATTGAAACCTCTTGGGATGCCAGGTCCAATAGCTTACACCCCTATGCCATTTTTCAACTCTATATCATAAGGGCACCTTTAAAGTTTAATAGAGGAATAAACATGTGATAGTATCCAAACACTGACCACCTTATGTCACTCTGCAGGGAGCCCTATGGGACAAAAAAAATGGAGGTGTGAAAGGAGGGCATACAGAGAGAGATAGAGAAGCAGAGGAACCATGGCAAATATTGGGGTGAGTGAGGGAGTCAAATTTGATCAACAGAACCTTATCTCACTCCCTAAAGTGCTTTTGAAATATGGTAGAGTTCAATGGAATAGTAGTTGAAGCACACAAGTGTCCTTAGTGGGTGTCGCATAGGGAGATCAGATCTGTACACCAGCTCCTATATCATTCCCCAAGAAACCGTAAAACCAGGAAGGTACATGCCACGTTTGAATGAGACTGAGATCCGTCAAAAACTATAGCTATGAATGGTGGCTACACATAAATAAGCAGTATCCCATGGGGAGTGGCACAGGTTTCATACCACTACCAAACACAAGTCTCCATGTGAAACTCTCCAGGTGGACTAAAGGATGTATGGAAAATTTGGTTGAGATCGGTCAAAAAGTAGGCGTGAAAAACGGATACAAAGTCGACATTTCTAAGTTCTACTTCTACTGTAATAGAACAGAAGTTATAACTTAGTAATATCATACGAATAATATAGTTATGTACGTATCACTATAAGTATCACCGTATCAATACTACAAATATAATAGTAGTAGTACTACTGATAAATGAATTAAATTATATTACTACGAAATATACCTACCCTTTCAGTACTTTCTTCATTATTACGTGCTACTTTATCTTTCCCTGTTGCCGTTTTCTGTTTAGAATCGTTTCCACTAACATTTGTCGTTCCCGATGTTGTTGTAATATCAATCACTATCACCCCATTGTCGTCCGCCATTTTTACAGTACTAATTCGGATAGAGGGCAATAGCGAAATGACTGAAAAACTTATTTTAATAAAGTATTTCACAATTTATTCAATATATCAGTCATAGGTGCAAATTTTTCTGTTTGTTTTTAATTTTCATACTTGCGCGCCCCATTTGTATTCTAGTCATAAAACCATTTTATTATACGACAATAAAATATCAATCATACTTCAGTCAACTGACTGTAGTATAATATAAGTAATAATAGTTTGTGGGTAACTTTCGATGTTTGTTTGTTTTAGAACAAAGTCACATTCAGCTATCTGCTGTGTTCACCTCGAGGAATCGAATCTCATATTTTAACGTTTTTTTTTAACTGAGTAGAGTTTCTTCTTCGACAGTGGCTTTTTCAGGTGGCACGTCTTCAGCAGCGTCATTTGTTCTGTTGTCCACTTCGTCCCAACTGAAATGTTCTGGACCGTGATAACGCCAAAGCCTTTGGCATACTTGCCGACCACATTTTATCTGGAAAGTCACATCTGAGAGACGATTCACTATAGCATATTGGCCTTCCCATGGAGAAGACAACTTAGGAGACTTCCCTTTGGCCTTCCTGGGATTATACAACCACACCCTGTCTCCTGGTTCAAAGGTGACTTCAGTAGATCTCTTATCATAAGTTAACTTCATCGAATCAGCAGACGTTTTTCAAGTTTGAACGC